AATTTAAACCTAGAATTGCTAAGAATGAGACTGTATCTTGGAGAATTGTAGGGTGGAGTGTCTGGATGCAGATCAGCAGCAATTCTGCCATCTGGAAGCTTTAATTCCCTGCAGCTAGACACTTTTAAAAAGCTGCTCATCCCTTACGGTAAACTTAGCATTTCTGCTGTTCTGGCAACTGTGCACGGTGTGCAGGCTGCCTCTGGCTATTAAGTTATTCTTGTCAGATTACCTCCTGTCCCAGACAGGCTGGAGCCTGTGGAGTGAGGTTTAGGCTGCATGCAGTATGCAGAGAGTTTATGCCAAGGTCAGAGAGCTGGGTACTACTCACGAGCTGCATTTCCTGGAGATGTGGGAGTGAGTCAATGTAGCATCTTAGGGAGAAACCACAGTTCCGAGCAGGAAAATCTTACGACCAGTATAGAAAGAGAGAGAGATATAAAGAAAGAAGGAAAAAACAGAAAGATAAAGATTCAAAATGTAATTATCAAGCAATAGACTAGGAAACAGAAAAAAAATCACTTGGTGCTTAGACAGATTGTGGGGCAAAAGCTTCAGACTAACAGAGAGTGTCAGGGGCTTTTAATAGGATACCCATGGTCTCGGGTATGGAATGAAAAGGAAATTATAGTTAGACATTAGCTGGACAATTTGTCCTTCAAAATACTTAATTTGAAAAATATTTAGATAACGTCTTTCTTTCATTATGCTTATGAAAACTATATACATATATGTGACATATATATGTTATATATGCATACATGTGATATATATGCATATACATATATATGTGATAATGACAAACATATATGATAATGATTAAATAAACAATGTGGGAAGAATTTTACAAGCATGTTTTTATAAAAACTATGACTTCAAAAAAATTGGTTCATTTACAGAGTCACATGAGTGAATATTTTCCAGCTGTAAATAGGCAATTAGAATCTAAATAAAACCAAAAATAACTATAATGAGCAAGCTGTACCTTAGAGAATCATGTATAATAAGTGTACAACACATTTATTTATCTAATTATTAAAGAATATAAGAAAGGGCTCTGAACTCTAGAGAAATTTTTACCTTTAAGAACACAGTATTTTCAGTATTTTGATTGATTTGCTTCCTGTATCAGTCAGGACCCTAAATTGCAAGCATCAGATGTTGGCTTTGGCTAATTTAAACAGAAAAGGAATTTGATTGAAAAAAAAAAAAAAACTCGGTAGTTCACACAAACTTTGGTACATATCTAGAATTAAGTTAGAAGGCTGTGTAGCCAGTTATTTTACCTAACAGTTGCATAAACACTTCTTTACCAATGTCCTTGAGAACTGACTGCAGAGTGCTCCTCTGTCGTCACCAACTCTGGATGCTTAGGCTGTTATTAAAACCACTGCTAAAACTGCCACCTAGATGTGGATATAGTGCCTTCCCTGAAGCAACCCTCATGAGAACAGCTTCATTATAGTCATTGCTTTTTGTATTTCCCACTGTGATAGGTGCAATAATTGGTGAAGCGTATGTATGTTATATGCCAACATCTTGACTGCTGGTGTGCCTAAGAAAGCAAGTAACTGGCAGTTTAATTTTCAGCAGTGGGAGATGGGTTGCTTCTTACTATTTGTGGTGGTAATTCATAGTCCCAGACTCTAGAGCCTTTTAAACATGTATATGGATATGATTTAGCTATTTTAATATGATAAAACTGAGAACATCAATTTTTATTAAGTACATACTAAATAGATTTGGTTACAAATAAAAACGAAGATAATAACTATATCTTATGAAGGCAGAAGTTTTGAGTACGAGATGATGATACTCAAAGATTTTGAAATTCAAATTATTCAATTCAGATACAATCTTCGAAGATTAATATGATCCTCTAATATTGCATATAACAATCCATAATTAAAAACTATTTCTCTGGCATTTGACCCTGAAAACTTCCCTAGATATAAGAGAAATTAAAAAGAAAAAGGGCAATGAGATTTCATAGATATTCAAGCAACTAAAAAAATGGAATATAATATGTTATATAATAGAAAGACTATTAAGTTATTCTTTTCACACAAAGTTTGCCTTTGAAAGTTACTCATAATAATCATTACTCAAGGATGCATATTATTTTATTAAAATTGAAGTATGTTAGTGTGGTTTATAAATGATAAGATATTAAATTTTGCTCTAGTGACCAGCATGCATTATCCCATAGATAATTAAAACATACCCTTGAAAACCAGGATGTCTTTCTGTTATTTAATAGAAAGGATCCTACTTAAAGATATGAGTAATTTCATAGCATTTAGTTATAATGTAAAGGTAATTTTCACACTATTATTAATATATTTTTTAAACATCATCAGTACACAGAGCCTTCTGGTCCATGATATAATTTATAAAACCATCTAACATGTTACATTTCAAATATTTTTACTTGGGTAATACATTTCAGAGTCAATGCTAACAGAAAAATCATGTATTCTATAAATTTTTATTGAGTCACCATTTAAAAAATGTTTTACTGGTCCTAGAACTCATTCCTAAAAGTTGTGATCTGTTAGGGTCCTAATATAGTGTACCAGAATAGATTTCAGTGGTTTGCATAAACTTGGAATATTTTATTACTAGAAACAAGATGCTTGATGACACTATGGAGCTGATATCAACTCACTCAAACCTTATGCTCAGAGAGAAACTTTTATAAAAAACTTTTTTAAAATAAAAAATATGATGCCATAAAAATCACGATAACGTCTTCAAGTTCTTTCTAATTTCATCCTCTTCTTATCAATCAGCCCCTGGAAGTATCTCTCTTTTTGTCAAACTCCTGGCTGGGCCACAGAAAAAGAGAAAGAAGTTTAGATTTTCTATGCTGCATTATGGTTCATTAAATTTTTGTTAGAATACTAAACCTACCCGTGGTTAACAAAATCTGTAGTATTAAATCTTTGTAGTGTTTGATGTTCATATTATTTGTATTCATGACATGTAAAAAAAAAGTAAAAATTAATGCATATACTATACCTTATAAGTAAGCATTAAATAGCTGGTATCATGTCATGATTGACATATCTTGAAGAAAATATATATGAAGAGAGAGAGTAATATAGTGTGAGAATTTAGCATGTTTATTCTAGAGTTGGACTAACTTATATGACTTCCCCTGCCTTTTCTCTGAATTGTAATATGGAAATAAAGATAATTTTGCTTTGGTAGATTTCTTGTGGGAATAAAACTAAATAATACATGAAAAGCAATAGAAAACTGCCTGGCGAAGCTCTTAAGTTTTGAGTATTTCAAATGTTTTAATGTGAATGAAAGTATGACATTATTCAAAATAGAAAACAATAAAATAATGTCTATTATACATAATATTATTTTTTAGCATAATCTTAATTACAGTCTTTAATCTCAAAATGAAACCGTCAAAAATTTATTCTGTATGATTTTTAATTGTAACTTTTCAATATTTTAAATTCGTGACATTTTGAATTGTTCTTCACATCCTTTAGGTGTGACTCAAAATAAATTAATGCAGAATTCTTCCTAACAGTGCCACATTACCAAAAGAGTTCTACCATAAATAACTTAGGAACACAAACCACATCTGCACAAAGGAAAATAATTTAAGGAGAACAGAAAAATGTATATGATTTACTGAAGCTGAAAGCCCCCTCAATTTCATGACTACTTGAGCATGAAAATTGCTTAAAAATATTTATGGTTTAAAATGAATATATTCCACTCAGGGATGCAAATTGAGGCCCAGGAGACATTGAAACTTATGAAACTTTATAACTTACAGACCCTGGGCTAGAAGTAAATAAAAAGATTCAACTTATTGAGGAGTATTTTATTCCTACAGCACAATTCAATAAACAAAGCAGAAATTTGAGAATGGGCTTTTAGAAACAAACAAAAAAAGCCTAGTTTTCAAAGAGCTAGTTTCAGTAACATTTATATTTAATGTGCATTAAATTAATTATGTAAAGGTCATTCTTCAAGTAACTGGCACTTCAAATTTATACACATAACACATCCATTACACATATACACATAACACATGCATTACACATACATGTGCATACACACACATATACTCTTCATTAAATAATTGCCAAATGTATATAACTAGTGTTAATGGTAATGAAATCCAAATATAGGAAATTAATGAATGAAGGAAACATGAACACAAAATACTTTGGATTTGTTCCTAAATATGAAATCAGTCACTGGGAGACGTATAATGTGCATCTTCATTTACAGTGATAATTACCTAAAATAATGTCACTGTTAAGTAAATAAAACATCTAAGTTTCAAATGGCAAATAGTATGAGGCTTATCGCATGGTCTCTTCAAAAAAAAATCTAAATGAAGAGGAGCAGAATATGTATACACGAAAGGTCCATCAGAAGTAAGTATGACAGAATTTTATTAACTTATATACCAGGAGTTTCTAAATCATAAAGTTTGTGCTACTGGTAGTAGGGTAAGAAGGAGGGATATTCCTTCTGAATTTCTTCTGGTAATTAACTTCTAATTAAGAGTCAGTGCTGATGTAACACTTTATACTGCTAGATATGAAATAAGGCCAGGCAATGTACTTGGCCTCAACTAATCAAGCCATGGAAGGAAAAATCATCAAGATAATTTATAATTCTTTGGTTGGTATAGAAACCATGGATACATATCAGAATTATTTGTGCCCTAACTGTAGAAAAGACTATGGAACAGTGTTTTGCTGTCATTAGATCAACATGAACAGATGTTCCTATAACTGTAATTACTCTACGAGAAGTCCCCTGCCAAATGAAGAAAAGAAGTACAAGGGACCAAATTTATTATAATGACTCACTACTCTTAGGTTAAGGGAAAAAAATAATCCAGAATAGTAAATTCCATGAGAATAATAAAAGATATGAATGATTCATACCTTGGAATTCTAGTGATAAAAATCTAAGAGCTACAGCTGCTTCCATTTTTGGACCATTTGTCACTGGCCAGCAAATTATTTGAAAAATGCGACATACTGTTAGACCGCTTCTAAAACTACATGGTGATCCTCCAGTGACCTGTGCTATACAGTACCACCACTGCTAGAATTTACTGAATTGGGCAGATGGATCCAAGGCCTGTGGCTATCCATTTCTGAAGACTCACTCTAGCTGCAGACATTGAACATAAAGTTTCAAATAGAACATCTGCTGCAGTTGCCTCAGTGGGCACAATGGAAAAACAATCTCCTGGAGTGCTTCTTGTAGAATGCTGGCTCAGTGGATCTCACCAGGTAAAGTTAAAGGAATTGTTATCAACCTTATATTGTTACTATTATCATTCCTTTTTGGAACCTGCTCTAAAAATATCTTCCAATCTAATCTCACTAAAATTGTCACTGTTATAAGACACAAGTTGGTACTGTGCTTTATTTTATTTTTTGGGATGTATTACAGTTTTGAAATAATACAGGTATAAAAACACATGACAAGTAATATACTAAAATTATGCTTATACTACCTGCTTAAGATACAAAATTATAGTCTTGAATCTTCCTTCTTCCCATTAAGGTGTGAGGGAGGTGTGAAGGGAACAAGGTATTTAGGGTTAAAGGTTAAAAATGTGTTTTACCTCACTAGACATGTGTCTGTATTTTTACTTTATATATTTGTAAATCTAAGAAGTACATAGTCTTGTTTTATAAAATGGAAACAAATAGTATCATAATTTATCTTTTAAATAGAATGTTTGGAGATTAGTCATTTTTATAAATATATCTTTAATTCTTTCGTAACTTTATATAAAATTGTAATTGGTTAATATACCGTGATTTACCTAGCAATTTTTGTTTAGTAAATATGTTGGTGGTTCCTAATCTTTAGCTATTAAAAATGTTGCTATGAGTATTTTATATATGTAGCTGTGAATATGTGTAAGAGTAATTGTATGCTATAAATATATACCAGAATTACAGGATCAGAATTTCAAATTCCCTAGATATTGCCAAATTTGCCACCCCAATTTTTGTATTGCACACTAAAAATTTAAGTTTCCCTGTTTTGCTACATTCTCAATACTTAGAATTGTTGAACTTAACAATTTGGACCCATATGTCTATGAAATGGAATCTCCTAGTGATTGATTTTATATAACCTGGAATGGAATACTTTACATATGCTTATTAATCATCCAGATTTCTTCTTTCATTTGCCTTGTCATATTTTTTGTTCATTAACTTCATTATTGGATTCTAAGGAGATAATTTTTGTGATGTATAATGATATCTTATTATTTAAATGTGTTGCCAATATATTAATTTACATATGTGGCTATGTCTATCTATCTTGTCTCCATAATATAATCAAATTTAGTATTCTACCACACAAGTATTCTGAACCACCATCATACATTTAAGTTCAAATTCCAAACTCACTTGCAGGCAAGACTGTGCTAGCAATTTCTCAGCATTAATTATTATTATTATTGTCGTTGTTGTTATTTATTTCATACAAAGCTGTTACCAATACTACTGAGTTAGTTTTTATTATTGTTTTGTTTTGCTTTTATAACCTCTTTCCAGATAGCATAAGAGTTTGCCTTGTAGTTAGGAGCTGAATTCCTCAACTGGCTTTATGTGAAAATCTAAGTACTATCTTTTCACCAAGGTCTGGGCTAATCAAGATCTTTTGTGTTCTCCTGGTAAAATATTTAAATCCAAAGGTTATAGAAACAGCGTAACTCACCCACTCTGGTTATTTTAATTTATTCTTTACTCATCCTATAAATATTTATCAAGTACCTGTTACAGACTAGGAACTGTTTGAGGCAATTGGTGTAGAAAGTGATAATTTCCTGCCCTTATAAAGCTTATATTCTAGTGCTATGTTATAGGACCTACATAATAAAATATATAGTATGATAGAATATATTAAATACAGTGAAATAAGTATACAGCAAGGAGTATACAACAAAGAGGTGCAGGATGGGTAAGTGTTCCAATTTAATTAGTGGAATCTAGGAAGTTCTCATTAAGAAAGCCACATCTAAACAAATATTTGGAGGTCAGTGATCAGTCAGGTATCAGTGGATACCAGGGACACAGCACCCTGGGTAGTTCCCTCCCTTAAGAGGAGTTTTTTTTTTTTTTTCTCCATTTTATTTTATTTTATTATTGGTTCTAAGTATACAATACATTGGTTAGACATTATACAGTTTATGAAACAATCTCTCTGATCACTCCATCTCTCTCTGCCTCTAACATAGCCATTACATTACTGCCGACTGCATTCCCTGTGCTGTGCTCCCCATCCCCGTGACCATCTGTCAACTACTAGTTTGTATTTCTTTAACCCTTCATTCCTTTCTCCTAGTCCCCAACCCCTCTCCCCTCTGGACATCATCAGATTGTCCTCTATATTTGTGTCTGTTTTCAATTAGTTTATACTTTTTGTTCTTTAGATTCTTCATATAAATATTTATCTTTGTCTGACTTATTTTGCTCTGCATAATTACCTCTAGGTCCATCTACATCTTAGAAAATGGTAGGATTTCACTATTTATGGCTTAGTAATATTCCATCATATATATATATATATATATATGAATCATAACTTCTTTATTCGATTATCTGTTAATGGGCATTTAGGTTGTTTCCATATCTTGGCTAGTATAAATAATGCTGCCATGAATATAGGGATGCATTGATCTTTATGAATTATTGTTTTGGTTTTCTTTGGATAAATACCCAGAAGTGCAATTGCTGGGTCAAAAAGTAGATCCACTTTTAATTTTTTCAGGCACCTCCAGACCATTTTCCATAGTGGCTGTACCAATTTGCAATCCTACCAAGAGTATCTGAGTTTTCCCTTTTCTCCACATCCTCACAAACACTTGTTCTTTGATTTGTTGATGTTAGCCATTCTGACAGGTGTGAGGTGATAGTTCATTTGTGGTTTTAATTAACATTTCTCTGATGATTAGTGACCTCGAGCATTTTTTCATATGTCTATTGGCCATCTGTATTTCCTCTTTGGAGAAATATCTATTTATGTCATCTATCCATTTTTTAATTGGATTGTTTGTTTTTTGGTCTTTGAGTTGTATGAGTGTTCTATACATTTTAAATCTTAACCCCTTATCAGATATCTTAAGGGAATATCTTTTCCCATTTAGTAAGTTGTCTTTCTTTTTGTCGATGGTTTTCTTTGGTGTGCAAAAAGTTTTTTAGTTTGGTGTAGTCCCATTTGTTTATTTTGTTTGTTTGTTTCCCTTGCCTGAGGAGATATATACAAAAAGAAATTACTAGTAGCAATATTGGAGAGGTTACTGCCTATGTTTCCTTCTAGTTTTATGGTTTTGAGTCTTACATTTAAGTCTTTAATCCATTTTGAGTTTACTCTTGTATGTGGTGTAAAAAGGTGGCCCAGTTTTATGTTTTTGAATCTGATTTTCCTTACACCATTTATCGAAGAGACTGTCTTTACTCCATTGTATATTCTTGCCTTCTTTGTCATATATTAAATGAACGTATCAATATGGATTTATTTCTTGTCTCTCTATTCTGTTCCATTGATCAACGTATCTGTTTTTATGCCAATACCATGCTGTTTTGATTACTGTAGCCTTGTAGTATAGTTTGATATCAGGTAGTGTGATACCTCCAACATTGTTCTTCTTTCTCAAGATTGCTACGGGTATTCAGGATCGTTTATGGTTTCATATAAATTTTGAGATTATTTGTTTTAGCTCTCTGAAAAATGCCATTGGTATTTTGATAAAGATTGCATTGAATCTTTGATTGCTTTGAGTAGTACGGCCATTTTAATGATGTTGATTCTTCCTACTCATGAACACGTATATGGTATATGCTTCCATTTATTTGTATCTTCTTCAATTTCTTTTTTCAATGACTTATTATCTTCTGAGAACAAGTCTTTTACCTCCTTAGTTAATTTGATTCTTAGGCATTTTATTGTTTTTGATTCAATTATAAATGGGATTATTTTTTAATTTCTCTTTCTGAAAGTTCATCATTGATGTATAAAAATGTAACTGACTTCTGAATATTAATTTTGTATCCTGCTACATTACTGAATTTGTTGATCAGTTCTAATAGCTTTTTGGTGGAATCTTTAAGGCTTTCTATATATAGTATCATGTCATCTACAAATAATGACAGTTTTACTTCTTCTTTTTCAATTTGGATACCTTTTATTCCTCTTTCTTATCTGATTGCTGTGGCTAGGATTTCTAATACAATGTTGAACAGAAGTAGTGAAAGTGGGTATCCTTATCTTATTCCTGATCTTAAAGAAAATGCTTTTAGCCTTTCCTCATTGAGAATAATGTTAGCTGTAGGTGTGACATATATGGCCTTTATTATGTTGGGGTATGTTCCCTCTATTCCCACTTTGCTGAGAGTTTTTATCATAAATGGATGCTGGATTTTGTCGAACACTTTTTCTGCATCTGTTGATATAATCATATGATTTTTATCTTTCAATTTATTAATTTGGTGTATCACGTTAATTGATTCATGGATATTGTACTAAACTTGCATCCCAGGAATAAATCCAACTTAATCATGGTGGATGACATTTTTAATGTATCACAGAATTTGGTTTGCTAATATTTTGTTAAGGATTTTTGCATCAATGTTCACAAGAGATATCAGCCTACAATTTTCTTTTTTTGCAACACTTTTGTTTGGTTTTAGAATCAAGGTAATAGTGGCCTCATAAAAGGAATTAAGGAGCCTTCTCTCTTCTTGAAATTTTTGGAATATTTTGAGAAGAACAGGTGTTAATTCTTCTTTGTATGAATGAAGCCATCTGGTCCAGGACTTTTGTTTTTTGGAGTTTTTTGATTACTGATTCAATTTCTTTGGTGGTAATTGGTCAATTCAGATTTTCTGTTTCTTCTTGACTCATTCTTGGAAGATTGTATGTTTCTAGGAATGTATCCATTTCTTCCAGGTCATCCAAGTTGTTTAAACAGAGAGAAAAACCAGGACAATGTCCCTGAAGGGGGAATGTGCTGTGTTCGAGAAACAAGGAGGCCTCTGAGCTTGCAATGATGGAAGTGAGAGAGAATTAATAGAAGTAATAAAAGTAAGAATGGGCAGATCAGATAGGGTGGTTAGAGCCTTGTAGGTTTGGGTTTTCAATTTCTTCTTTTGTTTTTTCAGTATCGCTATTTAAGTAAATTTTCATTTTATTTTTTAAGTGAAAGAAAAAATAAAGTAAAACAATGTTTTCTCTCTGTAAATTTTTACTTTAGAGAGGGTTTAAATCT